TCTCTCTCTCTCTCTCTCTCTCTCTCTCTCTCTCAAAAAGTCTGAATATGTATGCAATTTGAGTGGCAAAACACAGCAAAAACTAAAATAAAACATAACAACCAACTAATGCCTACATTCTGTCTTTCTCCCAACCCTGGCCTCCGGGCGCCTCCACTCCAACCCCAAACACACATCAAATACACAGGATTTTTGCGATGAAACGGTGCAGTCGTTGCGGACAAGGGATATACGCGTCGGAACTAGTCATGAGAGTGCGGGACAACATCTACCACATGCAGTGTTTCACGTGCGCATGGTGCAACACCACGTTAGCACAGGGCGACTATTTCGGCCTCAAAGATAATCTAGTCTACTGTCGGACGCACTACGAAATGCTCACTTGCGGTCACTTCCTGTTGACCTCCGAGAACGCCATCCATCCGTCGACGGGCGCCGCACACGACCGGCCGAACCAACCAATTATGCCCGCCTACGGGTCCATATACAACGGCACCGGCGCCGCGCCCGTGTCCGCAGTGGGCGGCGCCGTCACGACTGTCACCGGCGTTCGTAAGGGTAGGCCTCGGAAACGGAAGGCCGCCGACGGAACACCTCTTCACGACAATCACTCGCCGGGAGTGGCGTCGACTCCCAGCGCACAGAGTCCTACGTTAGGTATGCGTTGGGTTTACGGCATGTGTTTTATGCAAATACACAAATTTTTCCATTCATTTCCACTGTGAAAAACACATTCACTAACTTTCTCTCCCTCTCTCCCCATCGCATGCATTGTTTGCTGCGAACGTACAGCCAATTCAATGGACAGTAATGTGGTGTCAAACCTGAGCGGGAGTATAGACACGGGTTGTATGAGCGACGGGCAGTCATCGATGACCGGCTCATCGCTTATGATGTCGGGTCACGCCTCGGGCCAGAGGACCAAACGTATGCGCACGTCATTCAAACACCACCAGTTGAGGACAATGAAGTCCTACTTCTCCATCAATCAAAACCCTGACGCCAAAGACCTCAAACAACTCGCGCAGAAGACTGGCCTCTCCAAGAGGGTCCTACAGGTGAGAGCCATACCATCTCTCTCTCTCTCTCTCTCTCTCTCTCTCTCTCTCATACATTAAAATACTTTTCTGTATTTAATTTGTCGTCGAAATCGTAGTATTTATTTCACTGAATATAAAGTTTTGAGAAAAATATAATATTTTAGCAAAAACTTGATCATAGCTTAGAGCGAAAAAGGGATTTATAAACTAATAGTACTGTTAACTGTTGTATAAAAAAGGGGTTTTACTCGAGATTATGACTTAAAAATTATTAAATATAAATTGAAAATAAATGTCCACTAAAGCAGAAAATATATAAATTTATACACTTTTCTTACATACAATATATTTGACAAAAAATTGCTATTTTTGTTTCATTTCTGGGCCTAAATATTACGGTTTATTTTTATTTTTAAAGCACACATTACGGGCATATAATCTCATTATAGAAAATCTGTGAATTATAATTAATGCCCACAAAAAACAAAGACAAAAACAAAATTAAATAATAAAATATATAAATACGGTATACATAAGCAAATCGTAAATTTAATAAACAAATAATGATTTAAAGACAAAATAAAATTGTTATTTATTTGATGTGTTGATGATTGGGGTCAGACTTCTACGGGAGAAGAGATAGTTATCATATCGAGTATTAAATACTGATAAATACTGATATCGGTTATCATTATAGTGTCCGGAATATCTACTGTCTATAGTGTATAATACTGTACTGTATATTATACAGCATTATATCATTTATATTTAATTTATATTAATACATGTGTGTTATAGAAAAATGATTACGATATAAAAATAAAAACAATTTTATCTAGAGACAAAAATGTTTCCACTGAATTGATTCCAGTAGTAGTGGTTTGAAATGATTTTTTGTCATTTAATCAAAAATCTTATATTAATTTTATTTGTCTTTCTTTATGTTTTGAAATAAAACTTATAATTTTTGTTATTGTTTTTTGTTTGACTTATTATCGATACAACTAATCAAATGAATAAAATAAAAATAATACTGCTTTTTATAAAAAGAAATATAAATCTTTGACAAAATCTACGAAAAATATCATTTTATTTAAGTTTTCTTATTATTGCTATTTTGTATTTAATATACACTATAATTCTATAAGCATTTTCTGTGTGTTGAAAATTTTAGTGCCATTTATTGAAAACTCGCAAAAATTTGTAACAAAAAATAACAAAGATATCTATGTTTTTGTATTGGGTTTTCTTAATATAAGTTATAGTTTTCAATAACCTTTAGATTATAAGTGTCTCTAAAGAGATATGTTATTGAAAATTATTGATTCAATTTGTTTTGAAGTCAATCGGAGGATAAAATAGTAGTTAATTACTAGAAATCGATTAATTCGGTGACAAAACAAAACAACTTTGTTAAACACTTTTTGAGTTTAACATACTTTTCGTTTGGTTTGTGATTTTGGCTGAGATTTTTGTTGTTGTCATACATTTGTGCACAAATCATTACAGGCATTGAAAGGCGACATACCATGTATGTTATGTACGGCACATTTTTCGCATATATCTCATGGCATAAAAAGGCCATTGAATTACATAAGTATTGGTCGACAACACAATAATCTCTGGTAATACGAGCGCTAAAAATGCGTTCAACGAAAATAGTTTTTGGGTTTTTGTGAAATCAGAAGAAAGAGAAATTTGAAAATCAAACACATTATTGAAAGCCAACGACAAAAACTATTTTACACTATTTTTTGTGTCTGAAATTCATATTCGGGTATATGTTTCGCACACAAAACACACTCTCTCTCTCTCTCTCTCTCTCTCTCTCTCTCTCTCT